AAAAAAAAAAAAAAAAAAACAGTTCACAAGTGTGCAGCATTAGGCTATTCGTTTTTAAAAACAGAATATAAATAACACTATCAATGAAAAAAAGATACAAGAGAACGAAAGAAAGAAGAAAAAAAATTAAGAACATGGTATATAAACTTGAGGGTAAAACATTTAAGAATTCACTCTGTATGAAGACTTAAATGCATTAAACGTGATGTTTTTCAACTTCCTGTTTCCTTATATGGGCTTCCATGTTGTGAACAAGCAATGTGACTGTCAGGAAAACGATTGACCAAACAAAGTTGGAGATTGTTTTCTCTCTAAAGACCGCCAAGGACAAATATGATACACACCCAATTCACTGATGTCTGTCAGGTAATATGGATATCTTTGTTAAAATGTCATTTATATGTTTTAATCTGATCAAAATTACCAAATTCATGCCAAATAGAGAAAATGAATCACAGATTCATCATAATCTCAGATTATGGAAGGCTATTAATAATAACCTGTAATTAGTAACTTATTTGATTGTTGAGTACTACTGTTTTCGTAGTATGAAGAGCATTATTTAATACTTTGAAGTGTGTTAATACAGTGAAAAATGCTGTTCACCCACATATCTGATATTGTCATCAACTATCAAAAGGCTTTACTATTTATAACTTAGGTAAAGTTGGTTTTATATTCGCACTTTCAGTATTTCTCATTAATAATATATTCTCAGAAAAGTATCCATTGCAAATTCTAAATAGTGAAATCATATTAGCAGCCAACAACCATCAAAGTACAACAATGTTCACAGACAATTAAATAGTGCTAATGTTGTTTTGAAGTCATACTTACATGTGATTTCAGTCTGAATATTCAAATAAGGTTGGCGAGTCACCAAACTTGTTCTTGCAGGACCGGTGTTTAGAGTTTAGCTCAACTGAATCAAACGCACTTGAACAAGCTAATAAAAGTTTTTTTTCAAGCCAATGGATGACGTTCCAGAAAGCATTAGCCAAACTATCCGAAATATAAATATTGTTTGATTTTTGAAAGTATTACAGTGTTTATTTATTTGTTCATTTATTTGTAAACTTTTATAAGTACCACTTGTTGAGCCTATACTAGGGTTGGGCATCTAAGCTATAATGCCGATCCGATACGCATCTCGATACAAAGAATACAATCCGATATATTAGCGATACATTTGTGACATTGTGATGCAACACAATACGATTTACACCCATATCACGATACAATGTGATAATTCAGCACTAACTGATTAGATCAAGTTTATGAGATGATGTAAGAAAGGATGCTGTGCCATTGAATGAGTTTGATTATTTATTAACCAAGTAAAACCAAGACTTTTTTTACAAACTGGCTTTTCTCTCAGAGCCAGAGTGTCAGTTTACAGTAGAGGGCCATTTTAGAACCTATAGCACATATTATTTAAGTATTTTCAAGATAAACAGAATGTATAAGTGCAATATATATTATAAATGTATATATTTGCACTCTTTCAACATAAAGGTTTACCATTGCACAACAAGAATTGTGATTTAACTTTTCAACTATGAAAACAAGTTTTACAAAGATATATTGTGCCACTGAATATTCAAAACTTCAGGTCGTGAACTAGCAGTGTTATGTTGCTTTGAAACATCACTGTCACTGTAAACAACAGGCTAATAAAAATATAAATAAATAAAAATTAACAGGAGGTGTTTAAAACCTTCGTTCTCCGTGACACTAGGCTGAATATCTTTGCAGATGAACAATGCAATAGCATTCGTTATTGGCGTAGAGCGAGCAGAACTGTTGCGCATGGAGAAAACTTTCAATGCTTTTCTCATCACTTTTGGAGCTGGTAGCTACAGTTGAAGCAGAGCAGGAAGCCGGGGATGCAGGAACACTGGAAGATGCTTCCACAACAACACCGAGGCGCCGCTTCAAGTGAGATATCAGATATTAGTCAGATATTTACAGATGCGCGGCACATTTTGCAAATTGCATCTGTCCTGTCATGTCGTCCATCCTTTTTGCAGAATCCATAATGTTGCCATACTTTAGATTTAAAACTCAGTGAGGAATAAAATGTTTGTTTTGCTTCTCGCGCTTTCCGAGGGCGCACCACTAGCTTCATCCGCACACCTGATACACTGAGTTGTAGTGTAAGTGTACACATCCGCAAGTCCGTTGCTAATGCATACTTTATGTAGGTCGATTAAATTATGCGCCAAAAACAGGTTGACAACACTTGTTAATAAATAAAAAATACATTCTATATTAAAAATATAAGTTGTATCTTGGAAAAATCGATGCATCTCGCAAAAACCAATGCATCTCGATTTGCTTCCAAAATTTCATTCATCCTCTGCTGCTCTACCGATGCACTCGCATCGTGCACGCGCATGACCGCGTATCGATACATATCGGTTAATCTTCCCATCCCTAGCCTATACACATAACCCTCAGGCCCGGATTGGCCAATTGGGAGGACCGGGAGAGTTCCTGGTGGGCCGGTCTGTTTTTTGGCCACGAGGGCTGGTGTTTCTAGCTGCTTGCACTCTCAGCAGTTGCACTTTTTTCATTTATTTATTTATTTGACCATAGCCTCACTCTTTTTATTCATTATTTTGCTGCAGCTCTGCTCTTCTCATTTATTGTCTCGCAGCCCCATGAGCAAAATGCAGCCTGCAGGGTAATGATGATGTAACTATCATTCCGGCCACACAAGCATAACAGCTCCATTGTTGTCCAATGGTCCGCACATTGTGTCACGACGTCGTCAATCTGAGTTCGATCCTCGCCTGAGTAATTATTTATTTATTTATTTTTTTTCTTCATTGTTATTGTTAAGACATATACAACTGTAAGGTTGTTGAACATTTGAAGTTCTAAAGCAGCTGTTTTCTTGAAAAAAACGTGATATTGTAATTAGAAACTGAATTGGAAATGACCTTATTTTAATATAATCAGTTATGAACTGAGGTGGGCCAGTCTAATGCTTGAAACTCCAGGGCTGAAAAGGAGTCCCACTCCGGCCCTGCCACCCTTCCAGTTTGATAGAGCAATTGGACTAGGAAGCAGAGTCGCGTGACGTCAGACATAACAAGCAGATACAGAATTTTCCATATCCATAGAGTTACTGACTTGGTATACTTGAATATAGTCTTACAAGATATACTTGAAACCTCCAGGCAGGTGTGTAGAGGTAAATCAGAGCTAAATTCAGCAGGGATGCCAGCCCTCCATGGCCAAGGTTGGTGACCCCTGCTGTACATTGTTTTCACAGTATGTCATCAACTGGGCATATTGGAGGCACAGAATCTAAACAATGCCACTGAAGCGAACAAACCCTTTTTTTTTTTCTTTGCAGATAATTGCTGTTGAAAATGATCAATTATTGACATATTTTGGGCTGTGTTAGCCTAGTATCTTAAATAAATACTGCTTTTACATATCTTTCACAACCTACTTAACATCAGTTTGTCAAAATATTGCACATTTAAACATCCTGTGAGATGCTTTGAAATGTGCATGTTTTTTTATTGGATGTCTGACATAATCTCAATGGAAAAATAAAAAGAGTGTGGGTACCCCCCCCCCCCCCTAAAAACAGTCCAAAAGAGTTATGCTTTTATCGCAGCTCTGCCAGTAAGAGTGGTTGAGATCAATCATTCATTTTCTTTTCGGCTTAGTCCCTTTATTAATCCAGGGTCGCCATAGCCGAATGAACCAACTGCGTGATGCTATCATGTCAATATGTACCAAAATCTTTGAGGAATAAGTACCTTGTTAAATCTATGCCATGAAGGATTAAGGCAGTTCTGAAGGCAAAAGGGTGTCCAACAGGGTACTAGTATGTTGTACCTAATAAAGTGGCCGGTAATTCAATGACAGCTGGACCAATCCAAACACTTTCCACACCCATCGCAGTCTATTTAATGAGCATATTTATCCGAGTAAGCCACTGATTACATGTCGTGTTCTTTTGCTTTGTCCGTGCCTTTAGGAGTACTTTACAATCTTGGATGATGATGGACGAAAGCATCTGCAATATTTGTCATTGAACCCACCAGTTCAATACACAACTATTAGCCTCTGTCAGACTGATTAAACAACAGCAGATGAAAACTGGAGATGCCTGGACTGAAAGCCAGAGCGATAGAGAGTGAGTATGCAACCTCAATCGACTCTCTCCTCTGCTCTCTCTCTCTCTCTCTCTCTCTCTCTCTCCACCGTTCCTTTGCTTTCCAGTCCTCTATTCATCTGCTAGCCCTCCCTCTACCTTTCGCTTTCTCCTGGACTATGTTTGATTCATGCCAGAAAGATGATTCACACTCCACCATATCCGGCATGAGGGAACCCTCACTCTCCATCCATAATTCAGATCCCCTCTCTCTCCTTCTCTCTTTCTCTGTTGTATCTGCATCTCCATCCTCACGCACGCTGCCTGGATCCTGTGCAGCTGTCGATGCATCGGGTAAAAGATTGCGCCGTATAGAAGACGGGGGATCTATGAAAGCCTACAGGTAAGACCGAAATCCCTCGCTTTCCCTGCGATGTTGGCCCATTCGGGAGAGGAATGAATATTGATGCATCGGGATGTGGATTATGGATGTGCGAAGTTGGTGGGAAATATAGATGAGATTGAGAGTTGTGGAGTGATTGAAAGTGAAATAGAGATTGTGTGGGTAATTTGATGGTTAGGGATGGGTGGCGCTCGATGGTGTCTCACATGTGATGTATCGTTCAATTAGAGGCGCTCTCTCTGGGAAAAGTTATATTGCTTACTTTATGCGTGTGTGTGGTGGCTTGTTGCCATATTGAGACTATTCATTCTCAAAAGCCAGTGAAGACACTGATACTACATTCATGCCTTGTTGTGCCTTGTTCAGTGTTTGTCAGAGTTTGTGTTTGTTTGTGTGTGTGTGTGTTGCTTGGAACAGTTCAATAATGCAGTTACTTGGGGATGTAACACATTTGCTGATGGAGGATTTTTTTGACACCAACACACAAGCACAGAATGCTGCATAATAGGATGACAAATGTGTTGTTGTCATGGGTTGTGTTTTCCCTGGTAAAATAGTAATGATTCACAGCTGTTTTCTATTTATGCTACTGTAATCTCTACTCTTCTTCTTTTTTAAGTTGAAAATTTAATTCTGCAGTTTAACACAGAATTTTATTGACATTTTTACAACCTAGACTCCTTCTGATTATGTACCCCTATAAACATTTCTGAAGAGTGCCAAATAGGTCCCAGGAGCTACGTTTTTTTTTGCAGTTTTTGTTTTCGCGAATCCACCAGAGGCTGCTGTGTACGCTTTTTGAGATGTCAAATTTCTCTAGAGAGCCTTTTGTGATAGCAATTCCATGGCAAAAATAATCAAACGTACCTGTGATGTTTATGCGCGAGGAGACGTGAACCGCGAGCAGATTACAGGTCTGCACACGAGGAAACTACTGCTCGCGCACACAGAAGATGTTCACACGTGCGCTGAACTGATCCACCGTGAGGAAACAGCCGCTTGTGAGCTCGTTTTAAACAATTGCTCGCTCGCTGGCTCTTCGCTCTGCTCGCGCAAAACTTTTTGGATTTTTAGGACTTTGTGTACTTGTTATCTCTAATGCTACTGGTTGCCGTCTGTTTGCAGAAGTTAGGCGGGATCGGACGCAGGTGTAAATATCACAGAATTAAATATATATATATATATATATATATATATATATATATATATATATATATATATATATATATATATATATATATATATATATATATATATATATATATATATATATATATATATATATATATATATATATATATATATATATATATATATATATATATATATATATATATATATATATATATATATATATATATATATATATATATATATATATATATATATATATATATATATATATATATATATATATATATATATATATATATATATATATATATATATATATATATATATATATATATATATATATATATATATATATATATATATATATATATATATATATATATATATATATATATATATATATATATATATATATATATATATATATATATATATATATATATATATATATATATATATATATATATATATATATATATATATATATATATATATATATATATATATATATATATATATATATATATATATATATATATATATATATATATATATATATATATATATATATATATATATATATATATATATATATATATATATATATATATATATATATATATATATATATATATATATATATATATATATATATATATATATATATATATATATATATATATATATATATATATATATATATATATATATATATATATATATATATATATATATATATATATATATATATATATATATATATATATATATATATATATATATATATATATATATATATATATATATATATATATATATATATATATATATATATATATATATATA